TCATGTCAGCCCTTCAGGAAGTTCATCTCGCGATAAATCGAATTTCTAAAGGTCCTGCTGTAGTGTTTGCTATAGCAGGTTTCTTGGGAAGGGGGAGTTCACGATAGCCTTAAAGGTGCAGAAACGACTGGACGCCTTTTGATGAAGGGTAAGGGTCAAGAGGCTATCAGGAATCGCTCTTACATTCTTAAAAATAACCGTATCTCGTAGCACACACCCTCCCCGCATATACTTTCAGACCCCTCATCTCCAGAGAGCCTTCTGGATAAAAATAGACGGTACCATTCATCAGCATGTAACGAGATGACACAATGACGACGTCAGAAATGACTTAGTCCTACTGTAGCGTTACGCAGGCGTGCCCTGGCGTTAAGCGGTGGCGCATAGCACTCTTGAAGGAAATGATATTACCAAGTTGCATGGGCGAACAGCTCCCTAATAAGCTCTCATTAAATTTTTCGACGTCAACGTATGAAAGAAAGAGAACGTTGAATCTAAAAAAACCTAATCCGTGGCAGAGTAGGTAATTGGGGACATTTACAGTTTCTCCTCAATTGTATTTGCTGAACAAGTTCTTGTTTGTCGGAGTGATGGATAAGCACTCGTTGGTCGGAGTGAACAAAGGACGAAAAGGTCATTGAGGGCCGAGGAGAAAAGGAATACTGAGGCCACCGAGCACATCAAGCGATCGAGAAAATCAAACAAGAAGTTGAAAACAATGATACCCATGATGGTACTGACCTAGGCCGGGACAGTTCAGCGACGGGGGGCATTTTGCACGTTTGCTCCTTCCAACCGACGTGTCGACGCATCTAGACAGCCTTTTCTCGAGTTGACAGGTTTTACGATGGCTTGACGAGCTTGCTCCAGCTTCACAAGAGTTCACAGGTTTCACCAGAGTGAGACTTGTAAACCGGAACTAGTGAAGCAACGAAAGTGCAAATGCCCCCCCTTCCCCCCCGCGTCTTCGAACTGCGGCGCCTTGGCCAATATGTACTTGTTATCCGGTTCTCTCGCTTATATAACAGAGTCAGGTACCTGTTTAGGTTTACCCAGAGCATCAACTAAAGTCTTTCAGCCGTGATCAAGTCGGCCAGATACCGTTGCTACAGGACTGGAGGGCAGCTAGGCCTGCCTTTCACACCAGTTGATGCCTGAGCGGGGCATGTCGTACGTTGGGGGACTGCAGCGAAGAGGATCCTAATCGGACACCGGAACGAAGGGGGGGGGGAAGATGCCCTTGAAAAACTGTTTTCGGATGTGCATCCCCCGTACCTTCTCCTCTCTTGCAGTTTTCTTCTGAAGGGGGGAGAAAGCGGTAGGAAGTTCGAAAATTTAGGAATAGGTAGTTAGAATGAGGGATGGAGAAGAGGGGAGGTCATATTGGGAGAGAAAATTTTGAGGGGACAATTCTCGAAGATATCTGCATACGATTGGACGTGCCCTAATTCTAAGCCCGCAACTACTGGTTCTCCGAGCCGCGCCACTGCATACATCCTTTCGTTTGCAGGATTAGTGACTTCATCGCAGATATTTTTTGCTAGACGTAACCCTGGCAGAAAAATGCGAGACTTCACAAACAGCCAAGTATATTTAGCGCTAAATTACGACGTGGATAACACTGGAAACTGTCATACATGGTAAATATTCCGATGAATAATCAGTGATTCGAAATGGAAGCAGGAAACTCAACAACTGGCAAGAGAACCCTTGCTTCAGTTTGCAATACCTGGCTTGGCCCATCTACGAACGCCAGAGTTCCGCACTTTTCCTTCGGGAACTCTTCTTTTATGTCGCAAATTTCGGCAAATGAAGGGAGTCATACGATTTTCAGCCTCACTAATGAAGTCACGCATGAAGTCAGTTTTCAGAATTCATCGCTGAAAACTAACAGAAGTAAACGAATTTTGGGAGTTCAGCCCAAGGGAGTGGGGAATGGAAGCATCTTGCACTTTCGCGATTCCGTTTGCTAATAGTTAATTTTAACTAACAAGACTGACTTTGAAAACTACTGTGAACTACTTTTTGAATATGCGAAACGGTGCATGTGAGCCAGTCTGATCACAGGAATTCATGAACAGTGAAGCATCGCTGAATACCATCTGCTGCCCCCACCAAGTCGAACTGCGCCAACTTTTGTAATTGCTCGCCAGTTAAAAGCAAAGCCCGCGATCATTCGCCACCACCAATAGTGGATTAGGGTTTGCATATGGACGACAAGGTTCTGAATAACTCGATAGTGAAGAAAAAAGCAGAAAAAAACATGCCAACTAATAAAGGAGGTCTTCCCGAGTAGAACAGCGCTTTTTCAAAACTGTTCCTAGCAGGATAGGATGGGACTAGGGTGGAACAAGGATGAGGAGCAAGGCAATGCATCTTTGCCAAGGGGTTCTAGCGATGCCGAAAACAAGTAAGCAAATTCGAAGGCTTGAAAGGGGTCCATACCGTAGACATTATGCAAACGCTCCCTCCAAAAACCCATCTCGCAATCCATCATGCCATCCTACCAGTGCAAGCGCAGCTAGATGAGTTCGCCGCTTTGTTGGAAACTTCTCTACCTTTTTCATCTCAAACCGCAAA